TTACCTTCCCTCTTTTGTCTAGATTTATTTGTCTGATGCACACAGTTCATTATGTTTATGCTGATTGCAACCAACAGTTAATTAAATAAGTTCAAGGAGATAGTCATGTCCCACGATATATCACTAAGTGACACAAAGAGATTGAAATGAGAATTGAGATGGCTTTCTTGATCTTGGTTTGATAAACCTTTCACTGGATACAGCTGGATAGTTGCTTCTCCTCTAGAACTACTTATAGGTAGTTGTTAGTGTTTGCTTTGGGTACAGAAAGATACTGAATCTGCCAAGAAACATGCAATTTCCATGAAACATGACACTTCCATGCCATTTCCCACTGAAAGGATTTTGATCACTAAATTCTTTGATCTCACTTTCTTTGGCAACAGGTATGTGAGGAAGTGTAAGTCCTAAAGAGATACTGCTTACAAGAGGCAGAAAAATTAATATACCTTTACTAACAGAAAGTCAGCATGAAGCTTTGAGGTAGGACTGGAAAATGCTTTCTATGGTGATGGGAATTCCCTTGGATTATCCCTCTTCCTTACAGGAAGACACTTCTCTGCAGTTATATTCAAAGGTGCACAGGTGTAAAATGGAGAATCCAAAAGCCTCCTTATTCAATGCTCTTAGCAATTCCTGCATAACTATTCAATGCAGAATTTTGCAATTTAGCATAAGACGGAATGGGAGCCAAATTGCTGCCCTTGGAAATTCATCTGTTAAGAATGAGAGGTAAAGAATGTTCTGTAAGGCAGTATCTCTTGACTGCTTTTTTTTTGGTGCCATGCTTCCCAGGGGAAGGCTCTGTGGAGGATAGGGGTGCTGTGCCACGGCTGGAATGTTGGCTGGAGCTCCGTGAAACCCAATGCGCGGTTTCGACAGAGGAGTCACAACTGTTGGCAGGTTCTGGTGACCATGGCAGACCTCAGCGGGAGTTATTCTAAGAACACAACATATGATCAGATTACTGAGGGGCACTTTACGTGGCTCTAAAAAATGAACCATCTGACAGTTTATGACAGCTCTGCCTGTTCCAGCCAAGTGAGGAGTGCTGGTCTTTGCTGACCCTGCAGCCAAGGTTGTGAAACAAAGAAGGTGCCTTCCAAAGCCTGTGAGCATACAGGCTTCCAGCCACATAACACCTGCTTACATCTAACTACTGATAAGAAACACAAAAGACATTTAGGACTTGCTTCTCTTGTAGTTTTGATTCACGGTAATTTAATACTGCCTTGCTGAAGTTTACTGGGCTCGGCAATTTACATAGTTCTATATTTAGTAATCCCTGTGATGAATGTCTTTGTAGAGTAATCTGTTTGTTTGGTGGTGGTTTTTTGTTTGGGCTTTCTTTTTTCTTTTTTTTTTCTTTTTTTGTGCTACCAGTATCTTTATTACCTTAAAATAACCTGCCACTTTTCTGTTTTAACCTGACTGTGAGGACACAATTCTGGAATACAAAGACTGTATGAGAGATATTAGCAAGTGGAAAGTGAATTCTAAAACCGGAAATTTTGATGATCCACAGTTAAATGCTCTCTGTGTAGAGTTTCTTTCTAGAGAATTTCTGTACTGGTATCTAATATCTGCCATTTGTACAACAATTTCCCCTCTCACTAGTCTTTTTGGTGAAGTATATGGCCTGAGAGGACTTTGCAATTTTTGCTGCTGCTGTTGTCAAAGACAAACAGTTAAATGCACAATTATGGAAATACCTCCCAGTTTCCCAGGCCTGACTACAGTTTGTTGTCTCTCCTCCCTGCTTCCTACTCTGTTTCCCTTCTTTTGTTCTCTCTAACACTCAGTCCCTCTTAATTCCTTTGATGAGGTGCTGGGTGACGCAGGAGATTGGCATCACTCTGTAAAGGTCTCTCTCTGCCAATTCCTGCTTTTTTTTGGTTTTGTTTTGTTTCCCTTCTGGTGCTCCTTGTTTCTAGCTGCTTGTCATCTCTGCATGGGTTTTCAGTGGGCTGCAGTCCTTTCAGGGCTGTCTCTGCTCTGGTGTGGGTGCTGCAGTTGCCTCAAAGTGTTCTTCTGTCATGGAGCAACTTTTTCCAAGATGAGTTTTCCAGCCACATCCCCAGGAATGTCCCCTACCATGTCTCCTTTTCTCTATATTCATCTTTTTATGTATCTTGTATTTCTCCTGTGCATTCTCATGTCTCCTTTTGTGGTTCCTCTTGTGTCTCCTCATGCGTCTCCTGTCCCTACTGGCTCTTGCCCTTTCCAAAATACATTTGAGCAAAGGTAGTTTGTGCTCCTCTGGTTGAGGATTTGATGGATTGATTGTTATTTTCATCCAGTTTGGTGGTGGCTGGAATTCACTATGACTGGCACAGAGCTGTTCATGGCATCCTCTCATACCAATTACCCTGCAGCCCCTTATTATTACAGCAGAATAATGTTCTGTCTGACTGTTCAGCCTCTATAATTTCTTTACTTGACCCACTATACACATGAATTTGCTCAATAAGATTTATTGTATCTGGTTGAGAATCCATTGAAATTAGTTTTGCAAGGATCACCCATAACTGAGCCAGTGTCTGGAGAGTTCCCATGTGTTTAAATTTTCAGTGTATGCTGATACATGCCCTTTAGAAGTTTGCCTCAAATTCTCCCCATCCACTTCTTCTCAAGGCTAGTTTTTCCTCTCTTTTCCATTAACTCATTCGCCTTGCCTCTCAAAGGATCCTCTTGTTGAAACAAAAATTCCCTTCTTCTTTCTTTATAGATAATAAGTTTTGAGTGCCTTGTTTTGTTCAGCACATTTCCCATTTCTGATGTGTGTCAAACAGTCCTTCTGATATTGCTTATGCTGGCATCTGTCTGAGAAGAATCACTTCAGTTGTTCCTTACCTTTCAGCTTGGATCCATGTCTAAACAGATGGAAGATTTGAGAAGCCATAAATGTTATTGTTGGCACAGGAGGAAGGTGGTGTGGATGTGTGTTGCTATAATTGGTCTCAGCTTTGTGAAAATGGTTTATGTGGGTTGGAAGAGCAGCCAGGTGGAAGGTGGGAGAGCAGCATCTGCTCCCACCAAACTCTCCTGGGCATGTCACTGTGCTCAGGCAGAAACTGTGGGAACTGGAGAGGTCAGTGCTTACATGGCAGGGCATTGTGTTTCTGGCACAGACACAGTTCCTAATTTGTGTTTACAGGAGCTGGGGTGGATTTCTCAGCTACAGACCTGTTCCCTCTCCCAGGGGAATAAGGGGAGCTGCTACAATGACACTATTAGGGAAAGATTAGGATCTGTGTATGTAAAATGCTTTCCCATTCCTATATGTGTATTGGTTGCGTTTCATGAATCTGGCCTAACTGCAGTCATGGACATTTGCATTGTTCTGTTTCAGAAACAGATGGAATTAGGGGCTTTGCCAGCCCTTCCCTAAAAGCTTAAGTGGTCAATTTCATCAGTCTTTCCTTGCATACGCTTTATTTCAGGGTTGAGAGAAATAAGAGTTTAAAATAGAAAAAAGTTACTGCTTTTTCATGGACTATTTAACTACGGGAATAGTTAATACTGATAATGTAGTACTGATTTCACCGCTTGCTTTTTCATGTCTGTGATGTCCTAATATACAAGTTCTTTGCCCACAAGCTTTCCACAGACAATACTGTGATTTTATAATTTTGTTATTAAAATGCTTCACAAGAGCTGTGGCTTGGTTTCCTGGTTCATTCCTGCTCCATTCTGCAAACACTACAGCCATATCAAAATGTCTCACAGCCTTGCAGCTCCTACTCCCAACTTTTTATTGCAGTACTATCTTGATACTACTGTGGTCACCACAAATGTTTTATTTTGCAGAGCCTGCTCTTTCGCTGTCGTGTTTTTTGCTTTGAACCAGCCTTGAGTTCAGACGTGTAACTTCTGCCTTTCTGTTTCTTCTCTTGATTCCTCCATCTCCAGAAAGACAATAAAGTCTGTGTGACTGCTTAGATGTGATACACTGGGAGCCAGTGTAATAAAGCTGGATAGTCTGCCTGCAGGAGCCTGAAAGCACTTGTAATTCAGTGTATCATATCACACTGATAAATTCTGTGTAGCTGTTTCCATGTGCTTCCCCCTTGTTGTTTATTTTCTTGGACTTGGTTACACAGAATTATAGGCTCCTTTTGGTTGGAAGGGATCTTCAGACTGCTAGTCTGGCCCTGCTGCTCAAGCAGTGTCCAGTAGGTTGTTACTGTCCTCCAGGGATGGAGACTACAGCCTCTCTGGGCAGCCTGTGCCAATGTTTACTCACCTTTAGAGTAAAAGGTTTTTCTTCTTCTTCTTTTTTTTTTTTTTTTTATTGATTTAGACAGAATTTCATGTGTTAATTTGTATCAGTTGTTTCTTGTTCTATCTCTGGGCACTCTTGAGAGGAGGGTGGCTCCCTTTTCTCCTTTTTTGCCTCCCATCAGGTATTTATTTTATTATTATTATTATTATTGATGAAAAACTGCCCCTAGGTCCTCTCCGGGCTGAACAGACCCAGTTCTCTCAGCCTCTCTTCATAGGACAGATGCTCCAGTCTCTTAATAATTTTTGCTGACTTCTTGCTGGAGTTGCTCCTGAGTGTTTACACCTTTCTCATGCTGAGGAGACTTGATCTGGACTCAGTACTCCACATGTTGCCTCAGCTGTACTGAGTGGAGCTGAAGAATCACTTCCCTCGACCTGTTGGCAACTGGGATTTGCCATAAAGGGTGCATTGCAGCCTCACTGTCAGCTCATTGTCAGCTGGGACCCCATCCACTTGTTCAGCCAGTTTTCACCAAGCCACCTTGTCCAGCTATCTGGCCCAAACTTTGTCAGTTTGTCTATGGGGATGTTATAGGAGACTGCTCCTAAAAGTCAGACTTCTACCTTGTGCACTAATAAGTTCCTAATCTAAGAAAGAAAAGAGTGTGACAGAGTCATCCTGCTGCTGATCTCTTTAGATACAAAATGGAATTATGTATTTTGTTGGGGTCACTGCTTTCTAAACTTGGATTTACACTATTTCTGTGTTCCAGGCCGAAATGAGTTGATTGCCCGCTATATTAAGCTGAGAACAGGGAAAACACGCACAAGGAAACAGGTAAGGTACAGTTTTCCCTTTTTCTCTGGAAGGATTAGCTTCTTTGGACCTTTAGAGATTATGAGGGCTAATGAGAACAAATTTCTTGCTGTTTGCTTGTTGGTAGTTTCTGACTCTGCTGGAAGGGGGTTGTTGTGCTGAGCTGGTTAATAAGAATGGCAGGAAGAGAGAGCTCAGGCATTTTACAGGAAGTTTGTAATGCTCATGTCTGCCAATCATACTGTGACCCACAATTTTTTCTGCTGTTAAATAGCGTGATGTTATTTGCTTGGCCTACTAAAGAGTGTTTCAGGGAGCACCAGTTGTTCTCTGCATGAAGATTTCTTGTTTAGCCCAAGCAGACCAGTCAGCAATGATGATTTTGAAAATACCTGGCACATGAGATGGAAAAGGAATCTTTGTAATTTGGGCATGAATATCCAGGCTATGCTGGACAAAGCACTAAGCAGCCTGGACCTGCCTTAGATATTGCCCATCTTTGCAGGCCCTCCACCCCATTTCATGGCACTGGAGTTATGTTCAGAAAAGCAGCTCCTTGTTACCCCCAGTCCCTCCTACCCCCAACCCTAAATAACTGCCTAATTTCACAAGAGGCTGCCAAGTATTCCTCTGGAATGAACATGGAGTTTTGTCTTTCAATGCAGGTATCTAGTCACATCCAGGTGCTGGCAAGGCGGAAAGCTAGAGAGATCCAAGCCAAGCTCAAGGTATGATGGATATCCTTTAGCATGTCACACAAACTCCCCCAAGTCAGCTACTCCCTCTTTTGAATAGCCTTAAAAAAGCCTGAGAGATTAATCACTGACCTGTAGTAGGCTGGAGAGGAAAAGGTTCTTCCCAGGAAATGTAGTGCAAACATTCATTATTGTTGAAGCTCTGTGACGTCTGGAGCAATTCTATTTAAAGAATAAAGAAACAATAACTTTTTTAATTTCATGTGTCTTATTTCTTACCTCCAGTTTATGCTCTTGTCATTCAAATCTGAAAGACCCTTAGACTTAGGAGTGTGCAGAGAGCGTTTACCTGAGGAGGAATTGTTTATGGTTACAAATGCTGACCAGTAAGCAGTTGCTGGTGTTGTGGCGGCCTTGGGGAAAGGTGGCCTTAGAGTTATCAGAGCACCAGCTACACTTCCACTAGAGGTAGTGATGTAGAGTTGTCCACTGAGAGGAGGCAATAAAGCCAGCTGGCATCTTCTCAGGTAAAATGGTGCCAGCTGAATAGACTTTGCTCCTTGATTAATTCAGACCTGATGTGAAGAGGCCGGTGCTAACGAGAAAGAGAAAATGGTTGAATACTTGTTTGAGAAAAGCTGTGTTTTCCTTTCCATAGGAAAAGCTCCAAGATCACCTAATGAACCTCTTGACATTTATTTCCACTTGGATTTGATGTGGGGAAATGGTTTATGTGCTCAGACTGAATTGCCAGAAATGTTGAGAAGGTCAAGTTTGTATGTGACAATTGCAGAAGAGAGTGTCTGTCCCCTGTTAAAATGTGAGCTATCCAGAAAGGGCTTGCTGAGCAGGATGTGAGGTCTGAGCCTTGTTATGTTTCACTGAGACAGCCAGAGAAGGAAGGTGAATGCTGACCTTTCTGTTTGGTATGGCCCTAAGTAATGTGGAAGGAAGAGAGTTTGCTTTCCTTGTTTTCCATGCTTCAGGTGACAATATCCGTGACAGCCCAGCCCTGGCTGCTGAGGGATGGATGTTAGCATATGCTTCCTCTTGGCTGCCTGGGCAGCTCCTCACTGGGCACCAGGGCAAATGGAGTGTCCTGTGTGTGAGCTGCTGGCACTCAGCTGCCCAGGACTGACATGCATGCAGCTCTGTTGCAATCAGTGATTGTCTCTAAGCCATGACAGCACCCCCCCATATCCCAGCCCCATTTTAGAAAGCTGTGCTGTGTCTTTTATTATCCTGTTGTGTTACCAGCTGCTCTGATAAAGAGAAGGAGGCACAAATTACAACTATCTAATTCAGTGCACCCAGGTAGGGCTGCCTCAGCTTGAAACCTGTGGTGCTGTTAAGTGGTGAGTTCAGGTGCAGGCCTGCTGGAGAGGCAAGTCAGAGTGAGCAGGAAACAACAACTGCCCAGGGTGTTAAAAGCCTCTCTGCTGCTTACGTCTGTAACCTTGATTCTGTTCCTTGTGTGGCACAGCTCTGGGGCTGGGCATGATTGGAAAGCCAGCCAGCCGAGCCTGTTCCCACTTAGCTCACAGGCGCTGGCCGGTTTTGTTCTCAGGGAGCGAAGGTGTCTCGGGGAGCTCCACGGAGCCATTGGCTGCTGTCCCTTCACACACCCAGGCCATGCTGTGAGCTCTGCCCAGCTGCCCGCAGAGAACCCTTCCCCAGGACCAGGCTGTTCCTTTCCGCCTGCAGTGGCAGGTTGGGAGCACTGATTCAACTCATTTACTTCGTTGATTTCTCTGGCCATTTCCATAGAGCAGGGAAATGAAACCACAGAAACTGCTGCCCTTCCTCCCAGGTCCTGCTGACAGCTGTGTGCTCTCCTGTCACTGCTCATTTTCCATTGCAAGTGCTTGATTTTGTGTTTATATCCTAGTGATCAGGGCAGCTACATGATGATTTTTCAGAGTAGTGACTGCAATAATTCCACCTCCACACAAACTGGAGTGTTTTTTAAATGTCCACTGTGTCTGTAAATGATTCAGCGGGGAAATAGGGTAGAACGTGAAGAAAACTCTGTTCCCAAAAGTTAGTAGTTTTTCCATGCCCTGGGTGGCTAATTGATATCATCTGCACTAAGGAAAAAATTGGGAAATCATGGTGATGTGATGGTATTATCATCATCATCATAATCACCATCATCATTATTATGTGTTTTAAGAATAATGAATGAAAATACAAACCTTGCAAATGTTTGGTCAAAGTTTTTGTTGTTTTTATCATGTTTATCAAAGTTTTTTACCTTTTTTCCTTTTTTTTTTTTTATATTGGAAAACACTTGAAATGAGTATAGAACTGAAACAGAAAGGTGTGTTTTCTAAAAACATGCTCCTTCCAGCAGTCTGTCAAACATTTAAACAAAACAAAAACACAGCAGAAGTTAATAGGCAAAATACTCTCCTTCCCTAATTATTTTACATTTTCTTTTAACTTTTAATACCTCCACAAGTAAATGCATCTTCCCCATAAACTGAGGTAGACAAATACAATTTTTCAAATGACAAAATAAGGGAAGGAAATAAATCCTTCTCTGCAACATCACATGGGAAATAGTCCTTATATATATTAAGAAAAAAACAGAAAATAATAATTTTCCTTAAAAAATGTAGGTAGTCCTTCAATTATTCCCTAAGGCATAATTTAGACTGGATTCTGAAAACGTTTCCCATAGCTTTAGAGAATATTAGGAACTTTCTCAGCATTTAAAATGCTTCCCTTCCATTCACTTGAATGGTACTAACTGAAGTCACAAATGCTCTAAAAAAGAAGAGGTTAAGTTTTGCCCATTTCTAGTGATCATTCCGCTTGAACATTAACATTTATTAATGAGATTTTTTCAGATGGCTTCTCCACTTGTTTTTTTTTTTTTGTTAGACACATTAAGATAGTTGTGCTGTGAAATTTAGAGAACCTTAGATAGGTTGGAGGGGTTAGAAAGAATGGAGGCCCAAGGGTGAGAACTTACTGCAGTTCAGTGAATGCATGTGGGAAGTGAGAATTCCTGAAGAAGACAGCAAGGGCTGTTGTACCTCTTTCAGCAGTTTCTTCAAGCTATGAATTAATCTGTGAGTTTTCTGTGGTAATTATAATACCACAGATAAATGTGGAATGTTGAAAGGATGAAGATTAATTGTAGGGGATGTAGGAGGGAAGGCAGAATATAAGAGCTTCTGTTTGCCTATTTATACCTTGAAGAAAAGAAAAAATTAAGAATGCTGTTTGTTTTATACATAACTCAGACCCACTAATTGTGGCACTGTCATTGCCTGTAAGAATGTGTGTAAATCTACAGTCCTGTTAAAATACAAAAAGGAATGTCCCTGCATATGTGCCCTGGAGATGATGAAGGTTTCAAGTTTCATTGAAACTTGAAAGACAGGGATAAAATGATCAACTCTGTCTGAGACTAATGCAGTCCCTAATTGAGGTAGTCCTTTCTGCAGTGATGATGATGATGATGATCTCTTTTTGTGACCTTTGCCTCACAGGTGGTTTTTTTGGTTTTTTTTTTTGTTTTGTTTTTTTTGTTTTTTTTTTTTTGTAATCAAGAATCTTTCCCATTGAATATTGTTACCAATTATTAAAACACAAGAGTCAGCTAGGGATGTACTTTCCACAACAAAACTTTTCAGCTGTATGGTTGAAAGCTCTCAGACAGAAAGGATAAATGCTTCTCAGTCTTTAAACCAGCATTTCAGAAAGCCTGATTATTCACATCTGAAGCTGTAGTAATGAGTCACAGCCTTACAGCTTTAAAGAGTTCTTAGGACAGTTATTGGTGAGTTAACTGCCCAGAATTTCAGAGATGCCTGTTCCTGACAGAGAAGCTGATGAGAATTCTGTTTATAGACCATTAGAGCTGGCAACTAGTTAATCATTATAATAATCCTGTTTTTTCTGTTTCTGTTCTTGCTCATAGGATCAGGCAGCTAAAGATAAAGCCATGCAGAGTATGGCTACAATGTCATCTGCCCAGATTATCTCTGCAACTTCCTTCCATAGTAAAATGGGCTTGCCTGGTCTCCCACGACCAGCCTACCCTGCTGTTTCTGGGGTGAGTGGATCAGTGACTTGGTGGAGTTTTGAGAAGACACTTGACTGTTTGAAAGGATGTTAGGACTTGCTCAGGAAAATCCTGAGAACTAAGACAAAATGGGCCAAAAGGCATTGTCTCTGTAGAATAAATCTGTCATGTGGCTTCAACAGTTTTGTCCAATTCTTTGCTCACACTGATGTAAAACAATAGAGTTTCACTGTGTATATTTTTTTAATGATACAAGGGAGAGAACAATCAGTTCCTTTGGATTTTCATATCACTTTCTTAGTCCAGCATCTTTTTGGAATAAATCTGTTTGGGCCATCCTGACCCTTTCTCAAGTTTATATTTCCCAATCTTTTTCTCAGCACTTTGATCAGATGGCCCTTACACAAAATCCATAATAGAGAAAGGTGTGTCAGCATCTCTGTACCCATGAGTTGGGCCTAGTGAGCATTTGCTGAGCATTGATTTCTGCCAAAATAACTCCCATGGAACTTTCCTGGGGAAAATGGTCCTTCCAAGAGAGTGAGCATCATAAAAGCTTTGGAGACAGAGGCACAAGTTGATGCATAATATTTAACATTAAAGATCACTTTCGGGTCAGTCTTTTGCATATCATGAGTAGTAGTGTGTAGAATGAAAAAAAAAGAGCAGTCAGCATCTCCACAAGAATGAATCCAGGAATGTAAAAAGAAGAGAGAACTCATTCACATCTTTAAAGGTCTGTGAGCTTGCAGCTTGTTTCCTCAGAAAAGAGCAAGCCTTCCTTTTCATCTCTGTCGTAAGAGTGGTGACTTCTGCCTATGTGTTGTTCTCTTGCAGTTTTGGCAAGGACCATTGCCAGGCCAAGCAGGATCTTCCCAGGAGTAAGTATTTCTTCATGGAGCACCCAAAGCAGGTGCTTCTGCTGCTTTCTCTGCTGCCTGAGGAACACCATTAGCTATTACAAGATCTGTGAAATGCTAAGGCCTTCATTTTTCTTACAGTAGTGTTAAAATGGAGCTGAGCTCTCCTGAAAACTCTGTTTACCTGTGGGTGTTGAATGTCTCTGAATTTGGGCCTGAAAGTCTGAGAGGCATCCAGACCTATATCCACTTGCAAAGATATAAAACTACTCGTAGTTGAAAGGAAAGGATAAATAGATGGGCACCAGTGTATTAAGAGGCTGATAGGGATCTCAGAAAAACAAATCTGGAGGGGGGGCCTGCTGAACACCTGCAGGGAAATTTTTATCTATCCAGTCCTGGCCCCTTACTGCTTTCTGAGTGTTTGCCCATGACCCTTCTCTTGCCCACACAGAAAGATAATTTCTGAAAGACACTTAAACTACTTTCTTCCTGAGGAGAAATAATTTATCTAATCTGTCCAAACAGTCAGTGAAGAATATTTTTTTGTTTGGTTGTGTTTTTATTAACCACCTCTCTTTGTGTACTTCTCTAGTGTGAAACCTTTTTCTCAACAACCTTATGCTGTACAGCCTCCACTTCCAATACCAGGTAGGTAAGGAAATGTACTTCCTTCTTTGGAAATTGTATTCCAACTTCAAAAACAGCCAGCACTCTAAAAATCTTGAAAGTTAATTTAAAAAAACAAAACCTATTGAAGCATTTCAAAGAGCCAAAACCAATTTTTATATTATTTCCTCTTATTACCTGTTCTCATCCTTTTACTGAGAGAGCTGAAGCTTGTAAATTTTGTTTTCTTCTTGTTTTATATTGGTTGTGTTGGGTTTTTTTCTTCTTGGCTCAGCAGAGAATAAAAGTTTACATATCTCTACTGGTCTTCCACCATGCTTCATGCTCTAGAACACTGTTCTTTGTCATAACATGATTGTGTTCCGAATTTCTCATTAAGTAGAATAACAAAGGTCTTTTCCTTCTCAGCTTCCCCATTTTGAGAGATAGTGGTGACACCTCATTCTGATACTAAACAGTTTATTTCACTGCTCCTTTAGGGCTCTGTCTAAATCCTCTTAAAGTTGCTGAACATGTTTTCTCTGGTGTCCAACCTGGGTGGTTTGTCCTTTACACCATGACCCCTGGCAGTGCTGTCTTAGCAGAGGGTGACTGGCAAGCCATTTAGAGCACAGGTAGACTGAGGGCCTTGTGGATGATATTTTTGCATGTTGAATAAAGCCATAAGGAAACTATGAGTCAGCTTTGACAGTAGGTGTTCTACTGGAAAGCCATTGCCATTTTTTTCTAAATTATTGTTATATAAATCCTGTGTGCTTAGGGTTTGAATCTCCTGCTGGCCTCTCACCTTCCCCGTCAGCACCAGCTTGGCAAGGACGAAGGGTTGCTAGCTCCAAACTTTGGATGTTAGAGTTCTCTGCATTCTTGGAACAACAACAAGACCAAGACACAGTAAGAAACACACCTTGCTTCCACCTCTCATTAATTTTGCATCTTTGGACAGCTTGTTCATCATGGATGTGTTATACTACTCTATGTGTATGGAAATACTTGCTTTGTTTCTCCTCAGAGAATAGAAAGTCATCTTTGGGAAACACCAGATATCCTCCTCTTAGAGGATAAGTAGTGATAGAACCAGGTCTGTGCACTGTGCTTCTGGCTTCCCTGTCCAGGGTCATGGATATTCATACACCAGAGCCCCAGGCACTGAGGTCATAAACCTCTGCCAGGCTATTCTGGCTGTCCTGTCCAGTCTTATAAGATATGGAATATCTTTGGGTTCCAATATGGAACCAAAATCAGAAGTTGCTAGGATCACATAAAGCCATGTGTTTCTCTGGTGTGCTAAGAACTTAAAATTGGTGGAACCATGATGAATTTGTGTCAATGTGTTTCCACAGTGAAATGGAAGTAATAAGATTTGCCTCTTTTACTAAACTTTTTGATTCTGAATCCTGAGATGTGCTCTGGTGATGGGCTGAGATAGGAGAGTTCAGAAAAGATAGTGTTACTTGCCTGGGATTTATCTGTTCTGGGATTTCAGACTTTTCATAGGACAGGAGCATCGATGTTTGACTGAGTGACCTGTGATGGGTAACACTCTGTGTCTCAGGGTTTTGCAGACTATATGGCAGCAGCACAAGGCAATGACTTAGGAGTGAAAATAGGAAGAAAAAACCCAACAATGGTGTTTCAGAGAAGGAAAAAGTGTGAATGTATTGATAGGAAGGAAAGAACAGCATGAGCTGGTATTAGTAAAGATATTTCTATTGATTTCTTCTGCTCTTTTAGAAAACTCTATCAAATCTTCATTGACTTCCAGCAGTCTTCTGTGAAGGACAGTGGATGTTCAGTAGGTACTGAATGGTACTGAGCCATTTTCTAATTCCATGTTTTTCCTCTTTTTTCAGTATAACAAGCACCTGTTTGTGCACATTGGGCAGTCAAGCCCCAGCTACAATGACCCCTACCTCGAGGCAGTGGATATCCGGCAGATCTATGACAAGTTCCCTGAGAAGAAAGGGGGCCTGAAGGAGCTCTTTGAAAGGGGGCCAGCCAATGCCTTCTTCCTTGTCAAATTCTGGGTAAGAGAAGGGCCCTCTGTAGGGTACCCATTTGCTGTGAAGCTTGTCACTTTCAAAGCTGTGACCTCCCTGGCTGTTAGAAAATTGCTGCCTCCCAACAAATTTTTCCCCATGTAGGCAACTTAAATAAAACAGACACATTTCTGTCACTGTCACTTTTCTTGAGCCCACAAGATCTTTCCTTGACCCCACAAGGCACACTTTCTGGTCTGCAGCAGATGTATCTTTCACCTTGTCCATCTGTAGAGTTGTTCTTGACTACTGTCTGCAGATTTGCTAATGGTGACTTGGACCCTCTAGAATTTTTATTCATGTATAAGTAAAGAATTCAGAGGAAATTATTCTCTGCATACTCTTAGGCCTTCACTTCTCTCAGTGTTGTGTAACTCCTCAGCCAGAAGCAAAACTTTTCCATCTCTTCTCCTGTCTCTGTAGCTGCATTTTGTGTTATTCAATACTAATAATTTACAGATGCATACTTACTGCTGGAAAAGCAAGAGATAAGAGAAAAATATAATGAAATTGGATTATGCTGATAATATATTACTGAAATGACTTCTGGTAAATTGGTAGAAATCAGCCTGGCAAAAGCTTACTCACTCAATTTGGATTTTTGTGATTTAACTGAAATTTGAAAAACTGTGCCATTGTGCTTCAAGGTACAAACAAAATAGCTTTGGTGATTGATATTATCATAGGAATTATGAAATTAAAAATAATAGTAGCTCAGGGCAGTTGTACAGTAGATGGCTGAGGGAATGTGTAATGGGATTTGGAGCCTTTCACCTTGAGTTTACCACATCATTCAACCTCAAGTCAGAGTGAGATGATGAAAAATGAGCTTTTATATCTCATTCCCTTCATACAAAGTGGCACTGGAAAGCCTCCTGTCTGGTGCTTTCAGAAGGAAGAGTTAAGTGCCTTGAGATGCAACTTCCCAGCTGTCCCAAGCCTAGCCTTTCCAGAAATGAGTTGGAGAATGTTGGCTGGGAGTCTTCTTCTCAAGTGCCTGTGCCTAGAGTGTTGGTTGCTGATGATTTTTGAGGACACATAATTTTATTACCTGCAGCCTCTGCTACTGAGCTGAGCCCTTTGTGGGATTAGCTCCTGGCGAAGTACAACAAAGCCTGCCTGGGGTGCTCAAAACAAAAGGTGTAAGATCAGCTCTGTTCTGGCTGGGAGAGAAAACAGCACCTTGCTGAGAAGCTTATCTTTTGACAGGGTATTTTGAAAGGTATTGATTGCCTTTTGTGCTTTGGATGTTTCAAGAACCAAAAGGAAGAGCTTAGAGGGAGATGTTACACAAAGAGAATTAAACACTTTGAACTCCCTGACGTGAAGAGAGAGAAATCATGAAATTGTGATCTGCTGCAACTGTGATTTATTTATCAAAATTGACAGTTTGCCTTTCTGCTTTTGTGGTTCAGTTTGGGGATTGTGATGACTTGGTTTTTAATATCAGAAGTATAAATGTGCCCTATGCACCATGTCAGACCAACCTCTGTCAGGGTTTGGAAAGATTTAGATGGTGGCATGCCATCAAGCTGGGTTTTTTCTGCTCCCACGTGAGGTGTTCAGAGGGTATCAGCTCACTGGAATTTGGCTTGATTAAAGAGATGTGACATAGGATTTGAAACAGCTGTACTCCAATGTGTGCACAAGGCTGTGGGGCTCTGCAACTCTATACTTAAAAGGACAGAAATATTTCTGGGCTTGGTTTAATATTTTGACTGTCTGATACTTTTTTTTGGTACCCTTGAATTGTTGAATCCCATCTGGAGTTAACATCAGGTTTTATTGGTGGCACCCATTACAGCTTATCACTTAGAAATAGGCAAAGTTTACAAGTCGAGTCATTAGTTAAATGTAAGTTTCTAAGACTTTTAAGAAACAAATAAAAAACCACACTTTTCACAAATAAGACAATATGATTGAAAAGAAAAAAGGAAGAAAATCAGATTTCAGCAGAAATTTTTATATCTGTCTGCATTTTCATACTTTTGTACCAGTATGTGCTAGGGTGCTTTTTCATTTTGCTGCCTCATAGCTCTGGACAACTATACAAATATGCTGTTGATGTTCAAAGTTGCATTGGATAAAGCAGTTACTACACCATTGAATTTATAGCATCATTTTAGGATAAAATGGTGAGTAGAATTTAATACTTGAAAGGATGCTTTGAGACATGAAGACATGATTGATTTTTCAGAGGTTCTGAGTTGAAGTTGTGGTTGCAGGTGACAAAGACTTTAAACAAATCAAGGAATGAGTAAGTTGGGGTTGTATATCTGTAGTTTTAGGTTCGAAGAACCCAAGGCATGAACCTAACATTGCTACAGTAACCATTTAATATACCAGATGATCTGTTGTGTACTGGAGGCCTGATTCTAAACACCAGGGTTGAGGTTTTTTGACCTCTGTTGTAGCACTGAGGATCTAGTATGACTGAGAAAGAGATGTTCACCTTTGTTTAAAGGTGCTTTAAATCATCTATACAATAGCTAAAAGTTGAAAGTTGATGAGTTTGAAACATAAGGAGTGATGCAGTGTTAGCAATTCTTCCTTGATTTTGGCATTGGGAATTTGGTACAATGAACTGATTTTTGGACTTGGGTTGGCAAGTTGTGTATGACATCTGTGTGACATTTCTCTGTGCTCCAAGTGCATTCTAGCACATATGACAATGAATGTGAGACATCAGCCTCCCAACACATGGACAGTGGCAGCCCTGCTCTTTTCCAGGCTAATATTATCTCTGCCACCTGTTCCTTGCTTCTCCCTGTGAACTCCTCCTCTGTGGATCGTTATTAATAGTTTGGGGAAGAGGCGTTCTCAGGGCTTCGCACGTTAGTAGAATGGTGCACTTGCATCTTGGGGCTTTCAGAAGTTGTGAGACTCTGCATGGAAGACAGAAGGAAAAATGACAAATCAGTAATTCAGGACAGGTAGTACTTTGCACAGAGCAGTCATCTGCAGAGACATGAATCAGGGGAATTTTTGTCCTGCCTGTGAAGAATGTATGTAGCAATTTCTTCTCGTTGATAGGCAAGCAATCTTCTGAGCGTCTGAGCGCTCCTTTCAGCTAAATGGAATTTACTTCTGTGGGAAAGTGCTGAAGGGGTGGGCTGGAAACTGCTGTCTTGCACCTGGCTTCTCTCCTGTCACAAGCAAATCCAGTCAAAACAGCAGCAGTGCAAACTGCCCTCAGCACCCTGCCTTGCCCACTGGGTGCTTTCAATCCTGGAACTGCCTGGAGAGCAAGGAATGGCAATTTCGTCTTCACGTTCACTCTGTTCTTGGTGCTCCTCAGGCAGCAAACAAGACAGCAGCTAGAAACAGAGAATTTTATGATTTTTACACACATTAATTTCACCTGCCATCACCAGCACCACCACCCTTATGTAAGGGGACTCTGCCAATGGCACTTTCACCAAAGTTGTCCCCCACAGTGTTCAACAGCTTATTAGCAGCAAAAGGCTGATTGAAAGATTAAATTGCTGAGGAATTTTCAAAGAATCTTTTCCAGAGATGGAGGGGAAAAAGGAGCATATTAACTTGTGTAGGGCTACTACGCTCTTCCCAGAACAAATCCCTTCTCTTCCCTCTAGAAATCCTGTCTTGTAGGTAATTAAACATTATGCTTACTTCTCTGGAAAGGAGAGAATCCCAGATGTTACCCCTCCAAGCAGGCAGATTTCACTCTTGCATGCAGTATGTGAATATCTGGGATGTACTATATCACAGATATCTCAGTGACTGTAGTTTCAGCATGTTTGGAAGTCATCAGGCAAGCTGTGGATAAGTGTGTCATCTGTGCTGAGCTTACAAAGCAAGTTAAACACATCCCAGACCCATCAGATTTTTGCTATGTCAGAGTTGCTCAGGTTTTTGCATCTGGAACTTCTGGGACAGAAAGCAAGAACCCTGACTTTGTCAGATAAAGTAGTTTGGTCCAGCTGGTTGCTCCTAACTCAGATTTAGCTTGTAATATGTCTCATTTATTTGATCTTTACCTTTGCCTGTAAAAGAGACTGAGAACAGCTGTTTGAATGCTGGACACCACCCAACAGCCTGAATCCTGCTGCTGCTGCCCCCGCAGTCCCACCCTGTTCTAGCAGTGGCAAGTAGGAGCCTGGAGGGGCCAGGCAGCTCAGCCCTTTCAGTGAGACTTTCCTAAATCCTGCCTATGTCTCCTTTGGCTGCCTAGGCTGGGCTAAGGAATTTATTTAAGACCATCTCATTTGTTGTTGGACATACCAGGGCATTTGCCAGAGAGGAGTTGAGGCACCTGGGTTCTAGTCACATCCAGTTACATATAAAAAAATTCTACGCATTCTCAGACCATAAAGTGAAGATTACCTCTCCTGCTTGATGGAGTTCTGGGAAGATGAATTTCCTTTGAATCACAGTCACTATTATTCTCTTGCATCTTTTCAGGGTGGAATGTACTGGACACAGTAAGTCAGACCTGTCTCTGCTCACTTCGGGTGCTCGCTCCAGCACTGGATCTGCTTTCACACAAGGTTTTCTTTAGAGAAGTAATGTAGTCCTGATGGTCTAGGTGTTGTGAGGAAGTCATAGGAATCTAGGCATGAAGGCCATAGTGTTTTTAGATGTTAAGCTAAATGCAGCAGCCTTCCTTAAGAGGATGGGAACCAGCAGCTATAAATAGGTGAAAAAGCTGTAATTGTAGGGCTAGCAGTGTCTGGGGTGCTCCACCTGCATTCTCCTGCAAACATGAGCTGAAGCTCTCAGCAAACTGCTACTGTCATTCCCTGGAGTTGCTGAAATTCCCTGTATGTATGTTTATGCGATCTGTAAAGGCGACAGGAGGTGCGTACACAGCTCCTGGTGACTGATCACTCCATGTCTGACTGTCCTAGCCCATAACATGGGACAAGCTTTAGAACAGAATGTGCAGTGTAAATGTGAGGGAGTTCCAACATGATCCCACTGCTCCACTGCAACACGGCTTCCAGGTACCTGATTGTACACAATGTCAGTGAATGGTGACAACTCCTTAGTTCAAACAGTATTACCGTAGTTTTGCCATTAATGTTGATTAATTAGATGTTAATTGGCTGTGAAATTCTAGTCTGGCCTTGTGATGGGAGGCTTGTCAAACTGTGGGAGCATCTAGAGTGGCTTCTTAGGGCTAGTGAAGCTTTTCTCATGAAGTGCAACTAGCACTTTTCTGCTTTGCCTCGTATTGAGTGTATTTATTTTTCAATTTTACCTGTGAGTCTTTTGGAGAATGTAACCTTAACTTTACTAGTGAGACGCTGAAAATGTTTGTCTGGTGCTGCAAGTGTTTAAGTAGCAGTGGCCTGACCGAGCCTCTGTAGCCTTGACCCTTTGTTCTTTTTGACTCAGTGGGAGAATTTCTTTGGAAGAGTGAAATCAAGCCCATACATTGTGGTTATGACTCCCAAGGGAAATAGCAGAAAAATATTGTGAAGGACTCCTAGTCTAGTTCTTCTCTGGACAAGGGAAGAAGTTAATCTTTATTCAGAGAGCTGGAGTGTGGGAGAAATAAACAATACAGTTGATTGCATTGACATGGAAGTGAATATTACAGTATTAAAGTACAGTGTTACAGTAACTTAATAAAAACCTAAACCAGAATGGAGCAATACTGCTATTCTCTAATACAGGTGCATTTGTGGTACAAAGAAAGTAGCTGCATAACTACAGTTATTTAATACCAAGGTCTTCAGCGTGGCCTTAACAATTCACTGGAATAAGCTGTCCTGCCTTCTGCTATCCCTGTTGCCGCCTGTCCTCCCAATACATTCTTTGTTTGAACACACACAGGTGTTTCTGAATCAGGCCAGGGAACTGATCCCACTGAGAACTAACTGAGCAATTCCTCAGTGAGCCTTATAGTACAGCTACAGAGATGTGTGTTAGTACAGCAGGAATGGGGAAGCACAAACTGCTCTTGAAGACTGACGCTGCTCTCTCTTGGGGTCAGGACCAGCCTGGCATCATCAAACTACAATTCTGAGGTGCAGTTTCTCAAGCGTCTCAAGCCAACCCAAGTATGTGTTGCTATAGGCATATATAGGAAAATAGGCATTCTTTTTGCCCTTCTCTTTTGTGATGCCACAAAGGCAGCAGCAAGCTCAGGTGTCTACAGAAGGGGAGAAAACTTGACTGTCACTTTCTAGACTGACCTAAACCTTTTGTGAAGTTGCTCCTTAAGACAACTAAGCTAACAGTATTTATTATCTCATGGCACTTAAGAGACAGGTATTTTGCATGGCAAAGAAAGAGGGGCATTCATTATTGTGGTGGTGAAGTTCTACCACATTGCTTGTCCTTAGTGCAGCTCTTGATCTCAAATAAAAATCTCTTCACTGACATTTGTTAAGAAAACCCTGCTAGAATGGTATCTAATGCTGTCTTAGTCACACTGTAGCAGGAACACACTTTCTTCAGTTTCCTCTTCCCTTAGCTCAGCTGTAGGAATAATATGCTTTGGAGTAGCCTATGGGAAGTGATCCTTGCTTTTAGGCTGATGTGAATTAGCACATGGGCTTGTGGAGCACAGAGGAGCTGTGCCCTTTCAGTTTTGAAGGGGAGGGAGCTGAGCTGGGCATTCCCACACACCCCTAGTGTTTCTAGAGCTTAAGGGATCCGCCACTTGTTTCATAACTGCGGTTGGAATGACCCCTGGTGGAAGCTTCAGACACCCAGGATTTTTAGGAGTTCTGTCCCAACAGGAGGCTTTGGTTGGCCAGCCTTAGGCACCCACATTTGAAAACCGTGGCTGCTACTGGAGATGGGTTTGAATTCAGGTGTAGCTGGGCTGGATCCATCAGTAACCTACATTCCTTATGTTGCATCCTGTCTATTTACATTTGTAGTACCTGAGCTTGATGTGTGTGTGTACTCACACATTCCTTTTCCCTGCTGTCTCTTTTCCCTTACTATGTTCTTAGGGTGGAAAAACTTTATTGCTGTCGCTTTACTATTTTTTTCCTTCCTGGTGAGTCAGGCCAGTCTAGCCTGTCTGTTGCACTGCTCTGACTCTGCAGTCTGCTCTCCACATGCTTTTTGAGTACCTCCAAGCCATGTCATATGTTTTTCATGTTAGGAGGATATTCCACCAGATTTCCCCAATGTGTATGCAAACCCACACCATTTTTTGAAGTGGAAATAGGATTTTGTTCAGTACTCTTCAGATTTCTCCCGCTTGCTCAATGCACATTGGTCTGCTTAAGGAGCTGGGGACAATCCCAATACTTCACTATCCTGGCTGTGTAAGGTAATGGTGAGAAAATGCCACAACCATCTATTGATAACCATCTGAATTTCTTTTGTTCTTCTTTTTGGCAGGCTGATTTGAATACCAATATTGAAGATGAATCCAGATCTTTCTATGGTGTTTCCAGCCAGTATGAGAGCCCAGAAAACATGGTCATTACCTGTTCCACCAAAGTGTGTTCCTTTGGAAAGCAGGTGGTAGAGAAAGTAGAGGTAAGGAGTAGACACTTGGATGCAAGATTCCCTCTGGCTGCCGTTTTGTCACTTCGAGTATTTGCATCCTGCCTTTGTATCTCAAGGCAAAATATATCTCATGCTTCTGGTCAGGGAGATGGATGCCATAGATGTAAGATCACTCAGCCTGCAAAATGCTTGTCTTAGGATTTCACTGAAGATCTGCTAGTGTTCGCTACTTTCCCCTTAAATCTCAGCTTCTGAGGAGATGTAAATACATATGACTCTTAGCTCTGCCGATGCTCTGGGGCTTTTTGGGAAGCAAAAGAAAGCTAAGGAACATAGATGTGTTTTGTAGTCCAGAAATGTGAAAACATATAAGCAACACCTCACTCTCACCAGTGTTTTTAAACAGATCATTTATAAACCATAGCTATTCATTTGACTGCAATAATTTACAGACTATAGCCTTACAGCTTTATTAGATCTAGAGCTTATACACTTACAGCTTGAGCAACTGCAAATAACTGGGTTATGCATAGAACTGGCATTGAAGAAATTCTTTTTGATGCCACATTCCGCTGCTAAGAAAGCTGCTTTGACATGCCCCCTGCTGCCCTGTTTCTCAAGGAACCTCAGGGTGCAGAAGCATCTATGTGCAGAACACCAGCTGTTCTCATGTCAGCAGTCAGTTCAAGGTGCATCCTTCTCCAAAACCCATCTCCAGCCACATGCTAGGCATGCCCGAAGTTAAGTATTTGCAAAGGGATAGAGGGGCTAAAGGGAGGTGTCATGGTGCACATGAAAGACGACCAAGCCTCTGGGGTGAAAGAAGGTTACAGGCATTTAAGGGTCTGCTGTGAAATCATAGAATATGGCTTCAGTTTCTCTTCAAAGGCAGATAAAATATACAGGAACCAAGGTGGGAATGTGAGTAAAAAAATCCCTCTGGGTATCATTGGCCAGAGCCTTTTTTAAGTGGGGGGCATAAATTCTATGTTCTCTCACACAGATCCCAGAAGGCTTTAGTCTTTTTAACTATAAAGCATCCTGAGCATAGTATATTACTATCATTACTTCCTGGTCTTGCTAAAGCAATAGTTATTAACTTTTTCAGTTTATTCACTCTTAGTACTTTTCCAGTAGAGATGCAGATGGGAGTGTAGGTGTCAATTGGTCTGTTCCTCTTAGTTACCTTTCACAGTGCCTTGAGGGTTTGCTGCTCAGAAGCTGGAACCCACCATTCTCAAGAAAACAAGAAATCAAGCTAAAGAACTTGGAGGATTCAAGGGGACTGACCTTGGTGCAAAGTACTGTGGTCACTGTTCATAAAATTATTTAAAAGTGCCACTGTAATTTTTCTGTTCTGAGTGCCTTTTGTGACAGTGCCACCGGTGTGCCAGCACAGCCCCACGTGCCCCTCTCTGTTTTTCCCTGCAGACAGAGTATGCACGCTACGAGAACGGACACTACTCCTACCGCATCCACCGCTCCCCTCTCTGCGAGTACATGATCAACTTCATCCACAAACTCAAGCACCTTCCTGAGAAGTACATGATGAACAGTGTGCTGGAGAACTTCACTATCTTACAGGTAGGGATTTCAGCTGTTTTCATAGCAACTTGGCAACATGTAAGCACCATGCAGGAGTTCACTGTTGAGAGTCGAAGCAGATTTCCTTTTATAGCTCAGCATCTAATTGAACTTAATTTCTTTCATGTGTATTGCACTTCAAGACCATTTATGGAGCTCTAGAGATGGTAACTCATGCAGAGGAGCAGCAAAAGAATTTGAGAGACCTGGGTAAGAGAGAGATAAAAAGAAAAATAAAGGGAGAGCTCATGAGGCAGAGAGACAAAGGAAGGGGAATAATGAAAAAGTCAGTGAAGGAAATGCTCATTCCACTATTTCACAAATATTGAGGTCCTTTCTGTGCCCTGGCCCTTTTTGCAAGGTAAAAAAACTCATAAGGACATTGTTGAGTGGCTATAAAATTTTTCTGTGGGAAGAGTTCTTCACTGACCATATTAGGGGGGAAATAAAATTGGTTCCTCAGGACCACCCGGGACCTGTACAGAATATGGAGACATGCAAAGGAGTTGTGGGGAAACTCTGTGACACCTTCTGAATCACTGCAACCTCTAGCTAGGTCAGGATCATAAGGCTACAGCAATTAGATTTCCATTAGTGTTTTGTTATACTGGGAGCCTTTCCAGGCTCAGATGCAGCAGCCTAAATTTGGGAAGAGGGCAGACAGCTTAAAAAGTGGATTTTTCTAATGGACCAAATTCTGTGTTCACCTCTGTAAGAGGCATCACTGATCTTTGCCCAGAGAACGTGAGGCTGGGTAAGTAGAAGAGGTGCTGGTGGCTGTATGAAAGACTGGAAATCAAAGTGGTTTTTATTCCATTCTCTGAAGATCTTTGATAACTGCAGGCAACTCGTTTCACTGCTCTGTGGCTCAGACACATCAGCTATAGAATTCAAGGTTAATAGACATCATAGGGCATTAAGTTTACTCTTTCATGCTTGTATTAAGATCTTAAACATCTGGAGGAAATGAGGAGTAATAATGCTGAGAGTTCTTTTAGATTAGCAAAAGCATGAGAGGGGCAGAGACAGAGAGATGGAAGACGTGTGTGCTGTAATTCATACAGGGGAACATTGTAGCTGCCTTCTGCATGTTTCATTCCCCAGTCAGGGCAGCATTTCCTATAAATTCTAAGAAAAAACCTGTCACATGGTTATACTTCCTCAGGGGCTTTATGTTTTGAGAAATCTCATGTCTTTCCCTATCTCATGTCCTTCCCTTATCTTCCCTTCCCATGGGAAGGCATGTCCCAAGTGGGGGCTGGCACACGCTACCTTGCAGTGCTGTGCAAGATGAAAGTGCTGCTCCCTGAGCAGCAGCATGGGCATTTCCCACTCCCCACTGCGGAGATGAAAAACGCATTATGTAAGGCATGTTGGTAGCCCTCAGTCCCCACTACCACCTTTGAGCCAAGTCTAATAAAATTTTTTATGAACCCTTTTATGAGCTTAGAATACCCCTAATCCCATAAGCATCATTTATCTTGCTTGGCACTTTTCTCTGGATCTAGAACTCCCCAAGATTTCAGAGCCCGTTTTTCAGAAAAGGGCCTGGTGCCTTAGCACACCTGGATGTATATAACTCACCACATCTTGCAGAAGAAAGGACTTCAACTGCAAATCCAATCATGAAGTAAGAAAAGAAAACAGACCAAAATCATACTGCTAAAATTAATAGGAAAGTTTGAAAACAGCTATTTTCTTCCTGTTTTCACAAGAACAGTTGGGCTTTGGTACAGTTCAAGCCTCCAGCTGGAATGGTTTTTTTCTGGAGTTGAGCTTGTGCTGCTGCTCCTAAAAATCTGTGTTCTCCAGCAGGAGAGAACTTTAGCTATGGCACAAACTCAGGTGACAAGAATGTGCAAAGCTGTGCAGTGACAGAGAGAGGGAAGCTGAGCTAGGAGTTGTGAGAGCAATATTTCTCTTGTCTCTGCCACCTAGTGCATGCTGCAGAAACTAGGACAACACTGCTCCTTCACCATGCCGCTGACAGAGTCACGTTGTAGAGACGCTAAAGGGTCCTGAGGGGCCATAGAAAAAAAATGGGAAAAAAGGAGCTTCTGTAAGAATGCATGAGTGTAGCAGCCATCCTTCTCCCAACATCTACAGTGTATGGAATGGGAGGTGTAATGGAGTCAAATCTGTAAGTCTCCTGTAATAGGAGTTCTATTCTTTAATACTCGTGTTCTGTGTCTACCATTGACAAGCAGGAACAGATGAAGGAAAACAACGTCTATGGTTGTGATCTGTCAATATTTGTGTGAACAGAAGTGGGTGTGCCACAGGAGGGGGCCCCTCTATATGCAACAAAAAGAGCAAGAAGAGCTTTTTTTTCCAGAGTGAAACACTTCCACTCTGCTGAAATCTGCAACATCAGGGGTGGGAAGTAGACAACCTGCTTCCACTGATGTGATCACTGCTTGGTCACAGTGAACTTTTTGTCATCTCCCTGTCTCTTCACTGCGTTGTATTTCTGAGGATGCAAAAGTGCTGTGGTTTGTGGGCCAAGCTGTGTATCGATCCTGCACTTCTCTGTTCTTTGTCCATTACTGACTTTCTGCTTTGTGTTAAATGTGTTGGAATACATAAGCAGAGAAATAGCAGTTGCCATTTCAGCTTTTTCTCCTTTTCTGTCTAGGTTGTGACAAACAGGGACACACAGGAGACCTTGCTGTGCATAGCATATGTTTTTGAAGTATCAACTAGTGACCACGGTGCCCAACATCACATCTACCGGCTGGTGAAGGACTAGAGACTCTCTGCCCTGAGTTGTCCATGGAATGCATGTCTAAGAAAAAAGTCTGTGCTTGAACAACCCCTGCCCCCCCAAACCAAACTGAAAAATAAACTGCAGATATTGTGTATTTTCAGAAAAGTACCTCTGAGCTGGTTTGTGATTGATAGAATGAAGTTTCCATCTCCAGGTTTGTGCAAATGGGCAAAAGATTTGGAGTCAAGGAAGCAGGCAAATGACTGCTTTAGGGTCTCACCACAATCAGCACCCTGTGAAAAGCATTCCCCACAGTGCACACCCAGGGTGTGATTACACACATAAAAGGAGTGTGTGCACCTGAGCATACAGGTGGGGCAGTGGCAATGGCAGCAGCTTCCACAACTCTGATCACATATGAACAGATTGAAAATGTTCATGCTACACCTGGTCTGAGTGTGTGCACTCATTTACATTCATTTGAAAGCCAACACATGCCCAGACATGGTTACCATACATTTATATAGGTGTCAGTTAGACATACACAGTCATGTGCCTGTGTGTAGAGGTTGCACATATGTCCTGCACAGCTGCCTGGCCACATCAGCAGTTGTGCAGTCACAGGCTCATTCAGCCTTGCTCTGTTAGAGGCTTGTTTCTTCTTCCCTCTCTTCCATGCATGACAGTGAGAGACCAATCTTTCTTGTGCGTTTTAAATAAAATTATGCTTAGAAAATTGGGTATGTTAAATCATGTTGTCTTGCCCAGTAGATTTCCTCTATGTATCAAGTCTGATAACTTGACAGACTAAAATAATTCTTGCTGCTTTTGCTTCTGTTCTCCCTGCACAACTACCAATGCTCAGTGAGCCAGTCTGTGCTCTTGTGCACCAGCAAAATAATTGTTTACAGAGGTCAAATTATTCCACCTGTTAGTTGCAGACAATGAGATGCACAAGTATTCCACAAGATGTCATTTGGTGAGCAAACTGGAGGAAAAGAATGGGAGGGAAGAATGAAAACAGCTTAGCTTTCTGTGTTTCCAAGGCAATCAAGCACAGCCTCTCTGCTCTACTTGTAAACTGAGGTTGTCTATTCAGAGAGGAGTCACTGCTAGGCAATAATCTTGGTCTCTACAATGCTGCTGACGTGGGGGAAAGATGCAGCTATTCATGTTGCTCTGAGGGAAGAGGTGGTTTGCATGATGCTCTGGCAAAGGGTGAACAGGAAATTTATTGGGTGGCCAGGCAGAGTCGTGTGGCCTGGATGATCAGTTTCATGTGGAAGGGGGACTAATTGACTTACTTCCTCATTAGGCAACTGCATGCCAGTTGATCTGTTTTAACTGTGAAAGTGTGGGTTTCCATTTGCACGTGGGAGGTCCCTGACAGGCATGAGTCTTCACCAGGCAGATCCTGTGCTTTGAAGCATGGGAAGGAAAGGATAAGGGTAAGGAGGATAGCAAAGATAATGCCATGAAGTCAGAGATGGAGAAGGATGGTTTGTTTCCTGTTATGGGAAAAGTGATATTTTCCCCCCCCCAATCTTGTAGACACTGCATTCTCAGAGGCTACTTTTAAGGACCTTGCAGGGCTAGAGCTGTTAACCTTCTCTGTGCTGGAGCCAAAAGTGGATGGTCAAGAACAGAAAATTTGCTTGCACCTATTAAGCAAAATCTTCACCAAGTTCCTGCTGTGCCTGCTCTCTCCAAGACAAAGAAATACCTTCAAGAACGGACTTCCAAACAGTAATACAAACACACAGATGCCAACAGCTTTCCTTAAGATCTGCATGGCTGGTAACCAAGAATCAGTCAAGCTTGGAGGAAGACGAGCCAAGTACTTTAAACACCGAGAAGACAAAGCATCTTGAAATACCTGCTGTTCTGTGCTACACATGAAAAATCCATACAAGCACAGGCTGCCCTTGCCCATCCATTGGGTGTTATTGCTAGTCTCAGCCAGGTAACCAAGCCACCCAGGACTGAATTAACTAAATCTCTGCAAACCAAGCATCCTCTCCAGCTGACCACATGGGTATGAATGGCACCAACTGTCTACAGTCCATTGGTGATGCATGCACCTGCCTGCTTCAGCCCTGTGCAATCTCCTTCCTGATCTCTGAACCATGTGTGGAGCAGGCAACAAATCAAATAAAACCTTGCTAATAAGAAAAAAGACTGACCCTTGGGAAAAGTATTCTTGGCCAATGCCGACAAAAATGTTTTGAAATGAAGCCAGTGCAGAGAAAGGGCAGAGAAAGTCCCCAGCAATGGAAAATTCCTTATGATGTGTATTAGTACTCTCCTGCAAACATGAGCTTGGTGCCTTGCATGCTTTCACTGCTGGGTTACACCACAACAGCAGACCCTGTGGAAGTCAGTCCCTGAAGAAGATGAGCCCTAGAAGTTCACTTACTCCATTAGTTGATCATTAGTAAAACCACATTAAGCGAAGTTATAGATGTTATCAAGGCAGCAAACATGAACCAACAGGCTGAGGGACAGAGGAAATCTTCGCACAGTTCATTTTGGGACACTTCTGCAGTGTTTATTTTCAACTTAATACCAGTGGGAGATTTTCCTCTGGCAGTATTTCTTTCTATGCTTGCTCTTGGAGTTAACAGCACCCTGGTGTCAATAACCAGGGTTAGCAAGAGACATCTACCTGCCTTTGAAATTCAGTGGAGAAAGGAAAAGAAAATTTGTGTGTCTTGGAGAGCTCACTTTTATGTAGGCCAAGAGATGAAGAAGATTTAGTAAAGCTAAGAGGCAAAAGAAGTACTGGTAATTTTGATCTGGACTAAAAAGCTTCTGTCTCCTTGCAGAATGGGTGAGATCCATGCAAAAATACTTCAAAGACTGGAAGGACTGTAGCTCTCTGTCCCCAAGACTTCCTTTCTTGGAATTTCACCAGAAGAAACCCAAACAGTGCATCAAACTAAGAGCCAGCTGCAATTTTGCTAAAAATAAAGCAAAGCAAACACAAAATAGCAGCATATGTAAAAAAAGACAGATTCAAGAGGAAAGGCTAACTGAACTCTAAAGAACTGACAACAAATGAGGATATCAGAGTGTCTTACAAGTTTAATTTCTGTTAGGGCAGAAATACCAGAATTATTAACTTAACCTGTAAGAACTTGCTGTAAAATCAAAGGACGAAACTTTAAAAGCTGATTCCCCTGGTCACTTTACAGCCACAACACTGAGACCTTAGAAGGTAAATTGACAAAACAGATCTAAATATCCATGTTTTTTTTATAACAAAGCACTTAAAAGCTTTCCATTTAACTGATTCCCTTTTTTTTTCCTAATGTACATGCTTCAGTTTATCAGCCCTAATTTGTGCAGCTACATCTGCTTGTGGAATCATGTCAAACTGAATTACTAAAATGATTCCACTTACTGATAGTCTTCTGAGATAAGACAGACCATGGGTCTGAGCAACACAGAACTAGGCAAGTCAGGAGCCCTCCCTTCATCTGCACTTCAAAGCCAAAAGGAACACTTCAGGTAAGACAAGTTCATTTTAATTCATTCATGTGTTTGTGGTGAGGGGGTGGGAATTTCTTAAGCTGACATTGCCAACAAAGACAACATGTAGGTGGGCCTAGAGACAAAGGTAGGGATTGAATTTAAATCTCCTACTTCAATATCTAGATCCAAGGATCATTATTTCCTTGAGTATAACACACACACTTTAGCCTTTGGTGCAATGGTTTCCAAGTGGCATTTTCTTCCCTATTACCCAGCTCATTTTTGTCTTGCTTCTTTGACATCTTGGACCAGATGAAGGAGTTGATGATCTTGTGTGGTTACAGCAAAGAACAAGAACTAATTCAGACAGGTGAGAACACCCTCAAACTTGCTGTAGAGCTGTGGAAGGGGCAGGAGGAACACATGCTGAGCCTTCAAGCAGCTGCCAGGGGATCATGCTGTTTCACCAATCCTGCAAGCAGAGTCTGCATCAAAACCAAGCAGGAAGGCAGCAGAAAACTTGCATGCTTGTACTGAAATGGCAAGATCAGGGCTCTCTCTATGAGGGAAGGCTAGCCTGAAGCTTAGGTTGACCACAGCTCTGTCCATAACCTCACAGACTGTGGTGCAGTCCCAATCCTCTTGGACACCAGTTCCAGATCTAGTACCATATTTGCCTGCTGGTTCAGCAATTAGTCAAGACTCCAAATCTTGACTCCTCTCATTTAAGAGGCCATACAATTTTGGCCTCTTACATGAGCCATGAAAGTACTGGTGCTCATTCTGAGGAAAACTAATACAGCATCTTTAGAGAAAGGCACCCCCCTCATTTCCTTGAGGTGCAAAATACAGCAATTGTGATGGAAAGAACATCAATATAAGCAAAGTTAGAAAGTCTAGATGGATGATTTCTTTCTGTCAAAAAGAGAAGCAAAGACTTTGATTTTCAACCTCCTTAATTTCCCCACAGCACTCAGCTCTGTTGCCATATTATGATTTCATCTGAAATTGGTGGCTGGGACCAAAGCCACAGACTTGCTATTACAGAAGAGGGGGTACATCCTGTGAATTACAGTGGAGAGCATCCTTTTCTAGATGCCTCAAATGCAGCTACTCAAAGATATTCTTAGAAGCTGCATGTAGCCTTCAGGTTTGCTGGTCATATGCCATGGATTCAGGTACACAAAATCACAAAATTAAGGTTGAAAAAGACCTTTGAGACTGTCAAGTTCAACCTATGACCTAACACCACCTTATCAACTAAAGCATGGCACTAAGTGCCACATCCATTTATTTTTAAACACCTTCAGGGACAGTGACTCCACCACCTCTCTGGGCAGCCCATTGCAATGCTGAACCACTCTTTCTGTGAAAAACATTTTTCTAATGCCTAGCCTAAACTTCCCCTGGTGCAGCTTAAGACTGTGGCCTCTTGTCCTGTTGCTGGTTGCCTGAGAGAAGATGCTCATGAGGTGCAACTCCTGTTCCTCACTGTATGGACAACATTAGAGCACCCCCATGTTAGATTTGGTTGCATGTGGAAGATGGCTAGTTGAAGCTGGAACACAGGTCCAACAGACTACTTTCCTAAACTTAATGGCAAAATTGAGAAGAGACCTGCAGATAAATGCAGTTTCCTTGGTACAAAGTGTATCTA